TTCTTTTATCGGCGGTTGGTCTTTGGCCATTTGATAATTTCAAACTCAGACGTTTTCGTTTTACATTATTATTATCAATAATTATATCACTTCTCAGTACTCAGGTATTTGTATTATCCTATAATTATCATAATATAAATTATATTATAAATTTACTGGAACTGGGAAATATAAGATTTACACAAAAATATTATTTCTAAGTACCAAGATCCGCTTCAAATCCGTATTTGACGTTTTTCTTTTGTTGTTGAATTTCTTATGGTCTCGATTTTGATACTGATGTTAAATTAATTAATTAATTCAATTTTATTATAATCATGATACTTGCAACATATTTATAACATATATTTATCCAGAATTATATCTAGAATTTTAAAACATAGTTGAGCTTGTGTACAATGCAGTAGTATTGAACTAATAAATTTCTACCTATAAATCTAGCTGAACCTATAAATTTCTTTTTTATTTTTGATATTTTAGTGTTGTCCTATTATACGTTATAATATCAAATACTAATTGGATTTTATTATTTACTATAATTATTTCAGTGGCTAAAATTATACATCTCAGAATACAGTTCTGGTCTTTTTTTAAAGATATTCTCTTTCCATATTCTTTTCATACTAAGTTTTATAAAATATATTACATTTTATGCTATTTACGAAAATGTAAGTTTAACATTAATTGAAAGTAAATCACCAAATATTACAATATTTACCATAATACTTATCATATTTACTAGTAGATTAAAGAATTTCGGGAACGTCTTCGAAGTAATTGGAATGCTTTGAAAGATAATCAAGAATTCGAAATTTTATGTAAACAAGGAAGCAACGGAAAATTTTTCACAATGTTTATAATAGGTAAATGTTTAATAAATATTTAAATATATTAATTAACTTTTGATAGAATTAGTTTTTTATAACGGTGAAAGTTGTCGACACCAACATAGATTTCCTAAAGAAATACCCACTTATTTTTAGGAAATTAAACGCACTTTGTTAATATATTATTATTATATTATTAAAAATATGATCTGTTTAGATAATTTAAAAGATGACAATTTTTAATTTATATTTTTGTGACTTCTTTCTATATTTAATTATTTTCTGCAAGTCTAAATTAATCAAATTTAATATCAAATATATCAAACCATTTAATCATTTATACATATAAAGATGTAATAGTATAGAATTAATTATGTAGAATTATTATAATATTATTATAGCTAAATGAATTAATGCTTTAAACGTTTCAGTAACGATATATACCTTGAGTCTATGCTTCCTGTTTACCCAATATATTTCAATTTTATTTGATATTGTCACACCTTTAAATATATCTCGTCCACGTAAACTTCTATTTCCTGCAGAATATTTTATCGATTATGAGAAATATTTTTATATCATAACAATATACATAGCTATTGGATTGCTTGTTTCAGTAACTTGTATAATAGCTACCGAAACATTTACAATAACGAACGCATTACATGCTTTCGGATTATTTAAAATTGCTAGGTAAATACATTATCTTGTTTAATATATTAATGATATGTTTGTTTCTTTACTTTACTCGCAAATTTTTATTGATTTGATAATTGTATTTTTAATTGATATTTTTTTATTCAATATTTTAATTAAAGTTCCTCTCTATTTTTGATAAATTATACAACATTTTATTATAGTTTTGATTAATGAATTATTCATAAAACGTTTTGTGTATTGTATTTATTTATTTTTACTTCAACTAGATTATTTATATCTATATATCTTTCATTTTTTATTTGTTTCTTTTATTCAAACATTTAAAATTAATTTCTTAAGATAACTCTAGAAAAGGTTTTCCCAAACTTATGAATCGCAACTTACTTTTTAAAATGACAAATATCCATCTATTTATAGCTTTGGTAAATATAAAAAAGCTGATGTGGGAAGGAATTATTGATTTTTATATATCATTTTATCTATTTCTCAAATATTTAAAGAAGAATATGTTTGTTTTCTGTTTCTGTTGATATCGACGCGAATCACTTTTAGACGCAAAAAGATTGATAATTGAAATTTAGTTTTAAACTACCACTGTTGAAAATGCAACTACACATACATACCATATGTACATAGGGTTCACACGTGCAAATTTGTACAGCTACGTAAATTAACGAAGTATAATTTATCATTCGAAAGTTTTTCATGATCCACAATACTTTAGGAATTCCTATTCTAGAACAAGTCTATCAATGATATATGATTTTAATGCATTAAATTCATAGTATAGTATGTTCATATTAATTATATAGATTAATTTAACATCTAAATTTTTGTAGTTATCGTATAAAGCATGTATTAAGCGGAATCGATCCACATATGTGTCTAACTAAAAAATATGTCATATCTCATAATAGAATAATCGCTGCGGTAGATTTCCATAAGAGAGCGATCGAGTTAGTATCTTTAATCTATAAGTTAATAAATTATTAAGTTAATTGCTTGATACACGAATAGTATTGGTGAGAGTTCTTGATTGTTTATGTCATAATTATGAATATATTGATCAATACAATACTTATTTCAATATGAATATGTTTTTGCATGCATGGAATTAAACTTGTTTTAAAACTATGATTTGAAAAAACAAAATAGTTGTATATTTTGACTAATTTATGAAAAAAATAATAACATAAAATGTTTTATTCTATAAGATTTTCTGATTTACTGAAAACAAGTTTCGGACAAGTCTATTTAATCTTATTTGTGATGGGTGTGTGTTCAGCAAGCGTCAATTTATTCAACGTGAGTAGCATAACCTTTAAAACATAAGATTTTTATATTGTAGTTTTCTTTATATAATTTTTCCAAAAGGAATCTATTAATATATTTAAAAATCTTAATGTTTTTTCCAACAATTGATGTGCTGTAGCTTTCTCGAATATTGAAGGAAAGAGACATTTTGGAAATTATTAAATCTATCGTCTTAATAATAATACATATTGTATATTTGACAGTAGCTAATTACGCTGGGCAAGAATTTATAAATGATGATACACATTTCTATCGCACGATGTAAGTTATATGATTGTTATAATATATATTTTCACAATACTTTATATTATTTCTTAAGTTATACAATTCGTATTGTTATAATTATATATACTTTAATATATGTTTGTGATTATATACATAGATGCAATATGGAATGGTACAATGCTCCGTTAAAAACACAAAAATTGATACTATTTTTGTTACGAAAGACAACAATATGTTACAAAGTTGATGCCGGTGGTATGTTTAATCCCTGTTTGGAAGGTTTAGCCACAGTAAGAATCTTACTAAATTAATAGAATAAGGTATATTCGGGTATTATTATGACTATCCATAATTAAAATGGCTTTGTCTCCTATAAATTTGTATTTTAAAAAAAGGATACATGAGGCATATAATATGAAAACTCTAGTTTATATAAAAAAAATTTCTGAATAGTGAAAAATATCTAAAAATTCAAAAAATGTAAATTAATTATGTTATCCGTAGTGAAAGAGCCATATCTTTTTTAACGTTTAAAAATAAGCAAAAACAGTGTTAATCTCATACTTGTTTAACATTGAACAAAACTTTATATATGCTTATTTCTCTTATTTTTCTTATACATGTATATATATTTATATATATATATATGTATATATATATATATATATAATATATATAATAAATATTGAGAACCAATATAAATAAAATTACAAATTATCTAATTTCATATTTAAATAATAATATAAAATAAACAAAGGACCACGCACAAAACATATGGGAAATAGATCCCAGTCGATTTGGCTAGGCTTTGGATATGATGTAGATAAAATGGTTCAGATCAAATGTTCTCATGGGCTGAAGGACCAATAATGGCTAGTTTCCGAGATATTCGAATCGAAAGAATAACAAAATAGGTAATTTAGGTCTTAAGCCTACAGCCTATTTTAAACATCAATCGTTTTTTTGTATGTGCGTGGGTTAGTAAGTGTGTGTCAACCATTTAAGAATCCCGCATAAACACACGCACACACACACACACACACACACACACACACACACACACACACACACACACACACACACACACGCACGCACGCACGCACGCACGCACACAGTATTGAATGCACAAAATGTATTTGAATTCAAGTGATCGTTACATCAAAAAACAAATAAGTCTTACGAATTGTAATTATGTGCATTGCAATGTATAGTGGAGATTGACAAGAGAATATGTAGAAGCAAAAGGTCAAAAGAAGCAATAATTGAAAAAGGGAATACAAGTGAAAACGCAGAAATATCAATAAATACTCATTAATAGTGTGAATGAATACGACCGTAACGTATATGTTTTTTCACTCGCTAACACTCGCTCGGCTAGCAATATTATAGTAATATGATAATATTATTACCCCCCCTCCCCCCGCTATATCCTCTCTCTCTCTCTCTCTCTCTCTCTCTCTCTGACCACATGCTGCGGGTAACGACTCACTCCGGAGACAGCGACTTTATGCGTACTTTATTTATTGCCTATATTGATGATTAACCCACATGCATGTGTGCGTGTGTGTGCGCGCGCGTGTGTTGTGTGTGTTTGTGCGGAGTCCTGAAATGGTTGGCATCCACATAAGTACATACACATACATACTAATCCACGGACACACAACGAAACCGAGGATGTTTATATATCGGCTGCAGCTTTAAGACCTAATTACCTATTTTTTTATTCTTTCGATTCGAATATCTCGGAAACTAGCCATTATTGGTCTTTCAGCATATTGAGAACATTTGATCAGGACCATTTTATCTACATCATACCCAAAGCCCAGCCAAATCGACTGGGATCTATTTCCCATATGTTTTGTGCGTGGTCCTTTATAATAAATCACAAATTAACTAGCATATAATAACACTAACACAAAATTTCTTATCAATATGTGGCCAAATTAATACAATCATAGATTAATTTTCTTCCAACTATTTAAATTTTTAAAAAGTACAAAAATAAAGAATATGATCACATACATTCGGAATCAGCACAAAATTATCTTTAAACTGATAACACATCATATTTACTTCTTGAATAAGATCATTGAAAATTATGAAAAAAAATAAAATTATAACAACAGCAAACTTTTTTTATCACATTTTATAGACAATTAATCACGTAACTCTAATCAAACCTACATTTCGATTCAATCGGGAATCGGGTGAAATCTTTCATTTTATGTTTAACACATACATGCAATATTAGACGCACTGACTACTACCCAAATGTACCTTATAAATCGATTTTCCAATCAATCATCGTGTTGATTAGCTATATCTATAAAAAATATTTTTTGTTTTAGAGTTTAAGTATGTCGATTTCTTACTTTATGGTTCTTTATTCTACATAATTAATGTGTTCAAAACTACAAAAGTCTATTTTATTATTATTTTGAAAATATAAGATTAAGTTTTTGTCATAAATAAAATATTCTAATTGTAAGCAATAAAAAACAATATGTTAATAAATTAATAAACAGTATACATGAATTATTAAACTAATTAAATTTTTAAAAATGTGTTTTATAATTTTCGTAATTGAATTATTTTGCCATTTTAGTTTCATTTATTGTAAAAAATTTTTTTTTTATAAGCATATGATAAACTGGTATAAATACTGATAAAATATTCTAATTAGACACAAATTTATAAAAAGGAATATTATTAATGTGTAGTTATAATTTATTATTTAAACACTTATGCAATCTGTTAATCGCTTACTCTATGTCAATTGTAATTTAATTACTCATAATTTGCGTAATTATTAATTTCTTATCATTTTTAAAAAGTTTGGCAATATTAAGTAGTTAGTATATGTATAATATAGTTTAGCACGTGATTGTTAAACGAATAAATTCTATTAAAATAAAATATTCTTTTTGATAACAATAGAAACTGGAGTAAAATAACTTAATTAAAATACCTATTTTCAAACCAAGCGTAATTCTTTTAATCTGCCTTCGAAATTTACTTTTAAATTCTATTTAAGTTTTGTGTTGCTCATTTTCTATCAGATTATTGTACATATTGAAACATTATTAAGAAGTTCTTCTGTTGTGCACCCATTGATTGTCTGCGCAAGACTAAAACCCTTGTCTCTATAGAGTAAATCCACAAACGAATTGCGCTTGCGCTAAAGTAAAATGCGAAAAAATTGAGAATATATACGGTATTAGGACAATATAAGTCATAGTTGAACGTTTTCAGACTATTTTAATAATTTGCCACTTATCTATAGCAACCGAACTTATAGGCTTACCGTAGAAAAAAAAATTGAATCTATTATTTTCCTTACCTAGCAGTTATAAATAATCTAAAAGTTAACACTATCATTTATTGTACGAAACATTTTTTTACAATACGATATAGAGAATTGTGTAGGAGAAAAGCTGTTAGAATTTGTATGAGAAATATGTGCAACTGGTGCATATAAACTTGGAGAGCAGAGATATTTCCAGTGTTGTAAGAAATGGACTTCAACGGTGATCATTATTATAAACTTAACCGTATTTTTCTATCAACTATTGGCTTGTGGCCGCATCGTTATATTACGTTGAGGCAAATCCAAGGCGTTATATCGTCATTAATTTTAACATCAGTAACATTGTTTCAAGTATGCTAATCATTTATGTTTGTATTTCTGTTTAATTTTGTCCAAAACTATTTTTCAATGTTACATAGATGATATACATACACATTATCAATATCTCACTTTGTAAATTTTTTCAAATGTTTTATATAAGTATTCTTTGAATACTTGAATATATATATGTAGTAAATAAATATATATAATTTTTAGTTAATAAAGTTGATTACAACGAAGTACGATGTGGATCTCATTTTAAGAATTTTGTCATCCGCTTTGCCGTTCATGTTATTTACTGTAAAATATGTTACTTTTTATTTTGTCACAGAAAATGTAAGTATAAAGGAAGAGTATTTATTAACAATTATTATAGATAATTATGTCACGTCAATGTTCATAATACTACGAATTATAAGCTTTTACAGATAGTAATGTGCGTATTAAATGAAAATATAAAAGTTTTGTCATATATTCTTATTTATATTGTCTTACACTTTTTTGATAATTTTTTTTAAACAAAATTTAGAATTAATATAAAAAGTGACAATAAATGACTATGAATAGAGATGAAAACTTGTAAAGTTTAAATCGAATTGGTTCAGATTATATTTGTCGATTTGATTCATAATTCGCTATAATTACGGATAAATAAATTACTTTCATTATGACCCAATTATTATTCGACGTTGTCTATCAACCGAACTCAAATTAAATTCAATTCGGTAAAAAACTGAACATTTATTGATTACTTGAAAATTGTGAACTTATATAGGTACTCTTAAATATATTTTAGATCTGACTAAATGAAAACATAAAAAGTGTCGATTTTTGCTTAAGTTATTTATACCTTGCAATTAATGCAAATATGTTGAGAGAAAAATTTTTCTTTTTTTATAAAAACAATTACAATAAAAAATTATATTATTTTGAGTAAAATTGTATATTATTAGAGGAAATCAATTATTTAAATTGGTGGAATCACTAATATTTTACTTTATTTTATATATGTTCCCATCTGTTATTAATAGATAAAGGTATTAATGCAACAAATTCAAACTGATTGGATCGCTTTGAAAGATAATAATGAGATTGAAATAATCCAGCGATATGCACAAGCAGCAAGACTATGCACTACAAGTCTAGCAAGTAAATAAATATTTTAATGCGGTTAATGAACATGACATTATTTTTATGTAGTAATATTTTTATTTAAATCACAAGTATATTTTATTGAATGTGTGTGTAATCAAGTATAAAAATATCACATATTGTTAATAGCTTTTATATTGATTTCTCAATATAACCCTTGATTGATGATTGATAATTTCAGCATTGATTTATATATGTATAATCGCAGTTTTCTGCATTCAATATGTGCCAATATTTCTTGACATCATAGCACCATTAAATACATCTCGGCAAGCCGAATTATTATTTCAAGTTGAATATTTTCTTGACCAAGAAAAATATTATCATACGATTCAATTTCATTTAGATGTAGGACTTATTGTTGCTGCGATGACAATCCTGTCTACTGAATCATTTTGTCTAACACTTGCCATACACGCATTTGGAATGTTTAAAATAACTAGGTAAATATCACGTATAATTTCAATCGCGTAGATGGGCGATATTGCTTTTAGTTTACATTTTTGTTTCTATAGTTATCGTATGGAACGTATAATAAATAAAAATACTCCGAATTCATTCATGGAGAAACATTATGCCTTTCATGATAAAATAGTAACTGCTGTAAATGGTCACAGAAGAGCAATTGAGTCGGTATTATAATAATACACATTAAAATCACGTATTAATGTTATTGCACATATTATATCTTTTATATTTTATTAAAAATATATTATTAAATTTTATATATGTAATTATACTATTAATAAGATAATTAATTGTACTATTAATTATACTATTAATAAGAATATATAAAAATGTCTATTTTCGATTAGTCTTCAATCTATTATTACAAGAAAAATAATGATAGAAATAATAATTTTTAAAATAATTGATTCTATATTTTTTAATCTATTTATCTTATAATAGCATAAAATAATTTTACATTAATTTTTAATAAAGCAGTTTAACATTAATTTTCTTCAAATTTACATACAGATGTCTTATTTCTTTTGTCTAAAAATGGATTGTAGCTCTTTTATTTTATTATTATTATTATTATTAGAGAGAAGGTAAAAATATCTTGCAATCTTTCATAAATGTAATATATTTTATATCTTTTTAAGATTTTGCGAAATTATTAAATCAACCTTTGCAATACCTTATTTGGCTTTAATATTGCTTGGAGTAACTTCCTCGAGCGTAAATTTATTTCTGGTAACAATTATTTTTATTGAAAAATAAAAATACAAAATAATAGAATGTGTGCGACAACATGAAGAATGTGAATTGACTTGTCAATAAACATTCTTTTTTAACAGCTCTTCCAAATAATAATGTCGACGACCACAATAAATGATTTAATAAGGTCTGTTATATATGTCATTTGCCATTTCATCTATATGTTCTCAACTAATTACGCTGGACAGAAATTTGTAGATCACGATGCTGATGTCTACGGAAGGATGTAAGTAATGCAAGTGAAATAATATGTTATATGTACGTACATATAATATTTTTTAAATTAAAGATGCAACATACAATGGTATAATGCGCCATTGAGGACACAAAAACAGATATTATTTATCATGCAAAAAACCGTAAAAAGTTATCACATGGATGTCGGTGGCTTATACAGTCCTTCATTAGAAGGTTTTACAAAGGTAATTAAAATTTTTTGAAATTATAAAATCTTAATGTTTGGCAGGTATAAAAAATTAATTTTTTTTTCTAGCTTGCGAGTGCGTCACTCTCTTATTTTACTGTTCTCTGTTCAATGCGAAAATATTAACAACATATACCACAACAATAAACTAATGACACTTGAAATGACAAGTTGCTGTAATGCTTGCGATGAAACTTGAGATGGCAAAGAATAAAATATTCAAACAACAGATATTTATTTTCATAGATATTTTAACGCTCTATGTTTATTATATCTTATATATCGTACAAGAAAACGCGCGTCCTGTACATCAATTGTCCCCTTCGATTTTAATAAGCTTTGAATATATTAAAATATATAGACAAAAATAAGAGACACATATTTTTATATGGATGCTTTTTATAAATGTCGCATGTTAAGTAGATAAAAACTCTCTCTTGAAAAAAATCGGTTATTTTCTTTCGAAGTAAAGCAAATTACATCTAAGCTATAAAAAATTATTTTAAAAAGTGTTTTAATAAAACTTGAATGTTTTCAAGAGTACTTTATAATAATTTTAATTTTTATAATAATTCTTATTATTCAATTATCCCACATTTTCTTTGTGTGGATATAACCATCATAAAATTACAAAGTTAAAAATTATTTATACTGTTATTTTATTACTTTGTAATTCTGTGTTATTATAGCAATTTTATTGCGCATTGTTGATTTCAAAAATGAAAATATTTTCACCTCTGTGAAGTTAGCACCCCATTTTTTAATAAATCAATTTTTCGATACAGTTCTGAATGCACCCCAAAGAGTTCCGGAGTTCCTGATAAAAATTAAAAATAGTTCCGGCGAATTAAGCA